TTGTGTAGCGTTTCGTAGCTTCTAAGCTTGGAGAGGAGGTAGGGAGATGGCTTGTAAGGAGATGGTTTGCGGTAAAGTGATAATTGGTATCTACTGAGGCAAGAAGCTTCATCAAACCCTGTTGCAAGTAGTCCTCCATGAAGTCTATCGGAATCATTTGAATCTACAAAACAATTGAGAATCAGACAGCTTAAGCTAAAGACCAAACAAAAGAACACTTCTTCACCTAAAACAACCTTAGACAATCTTGGAGAAATTAAACCAATAAAGACTCTGTTTTTTTATAGAAAGATTCAAACTTTAGATTAGATGAATCTCCAGTGAACAAGATGTTACATAAATTAAACTAAAAAGACTATAATTTTTACATAACTATGCAATAAAGATCTAAACTTTGACTAACACAAACAGTAAGAATCTGTACCGGTGGCAGTAGTAACATTGGAGTAATCTCTGCCATCGATAACTCCTGCCTCGGCGAAACCCATTGACCGATTTGGATCAGATGGGTGGTGATTGGAGAAGGTTTCCTCTTATAAATATTCTGATCCATAGACTGGTCTTGGCGAAAAAGATGGATGGAGAAGACAATGATGTTTGAGAACGAAGTTTAAGAGAGGAGGAGGGAGAGGAGGGACAAATCTGTTAAGAGAAACAAGAAGAAGAGAGACAAGAATACCTTGGCCACGTCATTAAGGATTAGGTACGGAAAACCTCTTCCTGAAGGATCAATCCTTCATAAACCCAGCCCATCTATTATTTTTTTAATCAAAAAGCATTAAGGACTTGGGCTTAAGGATTTCTCCTTTTGCCCGTTGTGGGTGCTCTAATGTGATCTTGAAAATTTACTTAAACGTTTTTAAGAATATAGTTACACCTAACAATTGGTGGCTTAACCGGTGCCGTTCTCGCCGTCTTGCGAATTGTAGTAGTACGTAGTAGGTGAGAAGTGGTTGATAACAAAACAAAATGTGACTATTATCTTCTCTTTTAAATATTTTTTTCAAATATGTGTTTCAATAAACTTAGCTGTATATATAAATGTGATCTAATTTCTTTTTATTAATATCACATTTATAGATACAGCTTCCTATTGTTTATTGGTTGTGTATCAACATCTAGAAAATAAGCCAAGTTCATTAATAAACAATAGGAAACTGTATATATATATTTGATATTAATAACCCTAATTTTTAGTGATAAAATGAACGAATAAATAATATTGCATTTTGTTAACCAAAAAATAAAATAATATTGCATTCTTCAATAACAAAAATATGCATAAGAGTATATACATGTTAATTTGTTCATATTCAAGGTTGGTAACTTGGTGATGTGAAGTAACACAATCTCATGTTTCTTTAATATATTGGAGACTGTATCTTCCTTTATGTGGTTTGAACTTTCACACAATCTCATTGCTTCTTTCACATATCCACTTTCGAATATCAGATAAACTCTTAGTTTGTACGCAAATTGAAATAATGATAGACGTCTCTACTCTAACGAGTTCTATTGTGACTGATGTAGGGGTGGGCACTTTACCCGATACCCGAACTCGTACCCGAACCCGACCCGAAATATCCGAACCGAAATTCGAACCGAAGTAGCAAAATATCCGAACGGGTATTGAGTTAGGAGAGTTTAGATATCCGAACCCGAACGGGTATCCGAAGATAACCGAACATATATATATATACCTATTTATTCCTAGTTTATTTGTCTCATTTTATTAAAAATATTTATATTAATGTTATATATAGTTTAAGATCAGATAATATACATATAATTGTAAAAAAAATTGTTTTGTTACTCATTTAAAATGCATATTAAGCTTCTTATTTCATATTTTAACAAAATTTGTATCCAAAATTCGAAAATAGCAACCAAAATAATGATTTTTATTTTCAATAATTTATTTTCAAACTTATTAATCGTCCAACTTATTAAACATTTAAAAAAGGTTAAGTTGATAGTTAAATTTTTAAATACATGAAACTTAAGTAATGAAGAATTTGAATTTTTTTTTTCAAAATCTAAATATCCGAACCCGATCCGAAATAACCGAACTCGAACTAAAAATATCCGAACCCGACCCGATATGTAAAAATACCCGAACGGGTCCTAAACCCCAATACCGAAATACCCGAAAACCCAAAATACCCGATTCGAACCCGAACGGGTACCCGAACGCCCACCCCTAGACTGATGTATTACTAGTTTAGGCTTGGAGTTTGGTCTGAACTCATTGGGATGAAACATTTAAAATTAAATGGAGTTTATCTTATAAGGGTTCTAGTATTAAAAATTCGTTTATATTAAGTTAAATAAAGATGTTTTTACTATAATATATACTAATATATTTTTCGAAATATAAATATATTAATCTAAAGGTTAATAATTTTTTTTTGTCTCTTCCTTTTTGTTTTATGTAAATAATTCTGTTTTGTATATTTTTAGGTATAGTTTTCAATACTATTTTTTTTAAAGTTGAATGTATAAACGCTTTCTTGAGTGATGAAAACTTTCACAATTTCTTATCATTAAGAGCACGTTTATTCGAGTCCCTTAATAGGGGTTGTTAACATAATTAGGTATTTATAAAAAAGAAAAAATGTGATAAAACGAAGGGGCGCCCCTTTATTAGGTTCCCCAAGAGGCGTGTCTTAGCAGCCACGTGTCCGTCTAGTACTGGAGAGAGCAGCGGTGGCGGGGGAGTAAACCGTGTTTTTTTTTCTTTCTGTTTCTCTCTTTCTGTTTTCTCTATAGGAATGGAAATTCCTCTGCGATTCTCTCCCTCTTCGAGCCTCTCTTCGGTGGAACGGCGACGGCTGTATCGGTGGTTCTCGGCGAGGAAGGAACACCGCGACCTTTCTTTCGGTGGCTCTCTTTGGCGACGGCTGTATCCTCTGATGTGTTTTGATTTGATGATGTTTTTTTCTGTCTTTATGTGGATTGATCAAGCGGCATGATCAAGGTAGATCTTCTCTTTGTGTTAGATTTTCTCCTTCTTCATTGTTAATTTGTAACACATAACCTCTGATTTTTTTTTTCTGTCGGTTTTGTGCTCTCCAAGAAAGATTGTGTGTGTCTGGCTTTAGGTATATCATACTCCTTGTTCATGGTTAGCTATAAAGTTTGAGTTTTTCTTGATGAATGTGAATTCAAAGTTTCGATTTTTAATTTGTGAGGGTTGTGGATTTTGCAATTATGCGATATGGGTTATAGCTGTAAACTTGATCGCAGAGGAATACAGGTGAATGGGTATCTCTGAGTTAGTGATAAAGCTATTGACTTTTAGTGTTTTTTATATACAAGTTTGTGCGATTGTGATGAGATCAACCAAAGTTATGACTTTTCTGATGTCTATTGCATATTGAGTTTTGTGTTTTGGTATATGATTTCTTCTTGTTCAATCCATTTACGATATATTCTTCTCTTGATGTTTAAGCTTGGCTTTTCCTTTGAACTAGGGAGTCTGGTGACCCTGGCAAAAGGAAGTCATACTTACCCTTGGAGAAACAGATTTTGATTACGAGAAACGGTGAATCTGATTCTGTTTGATTTGTTGTTTATGTATGCACATTCTCTTATGTTTACGGTTTCAACAGTACCTTGTCTACGGAGAGAGCTGCATCTGTGGCAGAGGAATATGAAACTGCTGGACGAGAAGTGTTGGTTGATGATGAAGATGATGATGGTTGGCTGGCTACACACGGGAACCCGAAAGGTGAAGATTAGTTTAGTGCTTTGCCTAATTCATAGTTCTCATATTTAATCTTTTGTCTTGATATTTGTTACAGATAAAGGTAACGAAGATGAGAACTTGCCGTCCATGTATGCGCCCTTGGATACAAACGAGAAAAGCGGTATACGATCAATACCAGCATATTTTGGAGCTGAGAAAGAGGATGATGATATTTCAGATATGGAAGAGTTTGATGAAGCTGATAATGTGGTGGGAATGATACGATGTGTTTCTTTTGTTCATTGGTCTTTGATGAATGCCTTTTAATCGTGCACATGAATGGTCAAGTTTCTAGGCGTGTGTAGTTGTGTTTTGCCTTCGAACATATATCTGAACTTTACTTAAGGGACTACCATTAAACCATTTTATTCAAGTGTCTCTTAACAAAGTTTTTTTTCTTAATTTTAATAGTTAAAAATTCATTATGGCCCACTTAAGATACACTTAAGGGTTTTAGCAATAAACATGGTCTAAGGGGCTTACATACAGCGTTGGGCCAGAGGATCTTCTGCTTGGTCTTCTTCATTAAGAAGGGGAAGGTGTTGCAGCTCGCGTCTTGAAGGAGACCAAGCAAAAGATTCTCTGGTCACTCAATGCACCACCTCTGAGGTCTCACAATCTTGTTGGGAACAATCTCATCATTACGTTTTGAGCATAACTGAAATGATATATTTTCCTACTCGTCTCAAGGTTGTTGATATAGTATTGATCACTAAATACAAATTTTAGGCATTGCCTACAATCTATATAACACACAATAACGTTCAAACATAAACAAGACACAGAGTAAAAGATGAAGTAGCTAACTTTCACAGAGACAAATAATAGTTAAAAAAAAATACATTAAAGATGAAGAGAGCTAACTTCATCAACCTTCCAGTCATCTTCTCCATACCTATACACTACAAGAAAAGGAAGTGGTATCCGAGGGCCATATTAAACGGAAGTTTGTCGGGAATATGCGTTACCGATGGTTTCCCGAGGATTAAAATTTCGTCGGCGTTTGGGTCTCGGAAATACTCATTTCTCGGAAATTTCTCGATAAGTTCCGATAGCAATTGTTGTCGGAAATATTTAACGGAAAACCATCGGAACATAC